AGGCAATAGCAGAAAACTCTATGCCTATCTCAGTGTGGCCTGGAAAAAGAAGTCCTAGGCACAACAGCCAGAAATTCTATCTGACCTTTCACCTACGACTTCACTAATACAGGAACTTTCTATCTTGAGATATAATTTATATAGGTTTTTCTACAAGACCAGAAAACTTTACTGTGTTAGCAGTATTCCCACAAGGTTATTTTCACTGACCTTTTAATCAAGGATGAGAAAAGATGAGCCCTCAGCATAAGAAAGACACCGACCTGCTTGAGTGGGTCCAGAGCAGGGCCACAAACATGACCAGGGGGATGGAACACCTCACTTATAAGGACGGGCAGAGAGACTTGGGATTGTTCAGCCTGGAGAAGAGAAGGGTCTGGGGAGACCTTATAGCAGCCTTCCATTAGTTATAGGGTGTCTACAGGAAAGATGGAGAGGGGCTCTTTAGCAGGGAGTGTTGTGATAGAAGGAGGGCTAACAGGCACAATTTGCCCTGAGTGAAGCCATGTTGGCTGTCACCAATCACCTCCTTTTCTTCCATGTGCCTTAGCGTATTTTCCAGGAGGATTCACTCCATGATCTTGCCGGGCACGGAGGTGAAACTGACTGGCTTGTAGTTCCCTGGGTCTTCCTTTTTTTCCCTTTTTAAAAATGGGGGTTATGTTTCCCCTTTTCCAGTCAGTGGGAACTTCCCTGGACTGCCACGACTTCTCAAATATGATGGATAGTGGCTTACCCACTTCATCCACCAGTTCTCTTGGGACCCATGGCTGCATCTCAGCAGGTCCCATGGACTTGTGCACCTTCAGGTTCCTTAGATGGTCTTGAACCTGATCTTCTCCTACAGTGGGTGTTTCTTCTTTCTCCCAGTCCCCACCTTTACCTTCCGTGCCTTGGGTGGTGTGGCTGGAGCCCTTGCTGGTGAAGACTAAGGCAAAAAAGCCTTCTCCATATCTTGGATAACCAGGTCCCCATTTCCTTCCAGAGAGGGCTCATACTTTCCTTAGTCTTCTTTTTATCACTGACATAGCTGCAAAAGCTTTTTTTGTTGCCTTTGACATCCCTGGCCAGATTTAATTCTATCAGGGCTTTGGCCTTCCTAACCTGATCCTTGAATACCCAGACAATTTCTCTATATTCCTCCCAGGATGCCTGTTCTTTCTTCCACCCTCTGTAGGCTTCCTTTTTATGCCTGAGCTTGTCCAGGATCATCTTGTTCATTGATGTAGGCTGCCTGGTGGTCTTACCTGACTTCTTCTTTGTTGGGTCCCATTGCTCCTGAGCTTGGAGAACGTGATCCTTGAATATTAACCAGCTTTCTTGGTCTCCCCCTTCCCCCTAGGGCCTTATCCCAAAGTCCAGGGTAGCGAGTTTACTGCACACTGTCCTCACCACCTTAAGGATCTTGAACTCTGTCATTTTCCTAAAAGCCCTAGATATAGATGGAATCTCTTGCCATGGGTACTATGAAGCACACCTCTCTGCCATTTTCTCACTGGTACCTTTAACTAGCTATTACCTCCTTCCTTGCATTCCTTGCTTTTCACTACTGCTTCTGTATTTTATCATGTAGTCTATTGTCAGTAAATGAAGTGTGCTGCTCTCCAGAGTTTCTACTTGTTTTATGTTATCAGTTTTGATTGCAGTATTCCCCATGTTGGATGTGTATCTCTCAGTATTCAGGAAGCATTTCTGCATTGGGAAAAGCTGTGCTACCACTGGACACCAAGGATTTCAGAGAGCAACTTAGAGCAGCCAACAGATCTGGCTCCATGTCTAGGTGATACATCCAGTTGCTTAGAGTGGTGGACATCTGGGAACAAAGGGTGGCATCCATTCTTCCACTGCAGCCACAATGTAGGCAGCTGGGCTTTGCAAGGTGAAGGTCACTGCTGAGTGAAGTGGGGAGAAGAGCCAGTATGTGGAGCTGTATTTTGGAAGGTGTAGTACTGTCTACTATTACAGCAAAGGGTTCTCTCTCTCATGGAGATTGTGTAATATTCCATTACGGCAGCTGTAGTTAAACTCATCTGGTTCAAGATGTTACAAATACAGTTGTGCACTGTGCTCCTCCACTGACGGGCATTTCCTGCTGGCTGCAGGGGCAGAGGGAGAGGTCCATGTTCCTGCAGCCACTGGTGAGGATGGAGTTATTGCTGCATGGGCTGATCTCTTTCACAATCATGGGGCAGGGGAATAAACTTTCAACAGTCCAGACTGCAAGTTCCTCTGCATGCTGGCAGACGGCAAGCTTCCTTTTTCCACAGAATTAATGCGGTGACATTTCATTCCCCATGGAAATCTGAAGGTATCAAAATAACCACTACCTCTGTCAGTCCAAGAGTTTCAGCATTTGCTGCTATATTGCAGTATCAGTCCTGAAAGTGAGTCTGTCTGCAATCCAGCTGAAGTGTCAGCATCTTACTGTTGTTGGAATTGCAGACTTTGAATCCGGTAATGGCTAATGACATATAAAGACATAATGACTAATATCAACTCCTTCTGCTTACCCCTTGAATACTCACATCTCTGTATGTGCTTTTTTTTTCCATGGGTTCAGTGTTATTAAAAGGTCACATCTGGAGATGATGTAAAATATCATAGCTCCATTGACTTACCCAGTTGTCTCTCATTCTGTATTTACTTAAGCATTTCTGCCTGTATGGTATTTTGTAATTATTAAATGACATCCTTTTCTTTCTTTTTTTTTTTTTTTTCCACATACCGCTTTCCCAATTTGTGAAGTTTAGAGTCTGAGCTTGTCTCACAGTCTCTCACTTGTTTTATAGGTCAGCTTAATACGTGTTCCCTCCTCTATCATCCAAGTAACAGGCTACAGCACTGAGGTTATTTCAGACTTCATTAAAGCCTTCAGGGAACCTCTTCCTTTTTGACAACAAACCATCAACTGTTTATTTTTGTAGAAAGGTTGGCCACCTAGTGTTATACCAATGTTTCCTTAGTTCATTAAATACAGTAGTTTCAAATAGTTTGCTCTTGACTAATCTGCATTGACAGTTACTCAGGCTCTCCTTAGAGGCTTACAGTTTCATTTTTGCTTGGTTTGTTCCAGAATTTTTCCAAGAACTGAATTAAGCTGTTTGATTTTTTAAGTTCTTCAGTTCCTTTGTTTTTCTTTTTAAAGATAGGTCCCATATATATCCTTTTCCAGTCTTCTGGTCCCTCGCTCACTCTCCAGGAGCTGTCATTGATAATGGACTCATTCAGGCACTACTTCAATCCATTTGCTAAGCTAACCCAGAGACAAAGTCCATCAGATCTAGCTCACCAGAAAAAAACTTTCTCAGCCAGCTAAACCTAAGACTGTCCCTTCCTTAGGTGAGGGCTGCTATGAAGACATCATGTTGCTAACTGCGATAGCCACGCACTCTTGGCAGCTATGGCTGGAAGGCATCCTCCCTCTCCCAAACAGTAATTAGGAGAGACATGCTTAGAGGACAAAGCAAGGAGATCCAGATTAGATTCATACTGCTGAAAGAACAACAGCCTTGTGTGATGGGCTTCTGGCCACCCTGAAGAGGACAGGCAACTTGGCGGAAGGAGAGCAGGGAAGTATTTCTCTATCCTGAAAATGCAACTAGAACAAAGGGATAAGGGAGGGGCATAGCTACTTGCACATAGAAGTAAAATTCAGCAAGTAGTCTTCGTCCCAGGAGGGAAAGAGACAGACGAAAACATTAAAAATTTAATCCTGAAGCTTTTTCAACAAATTAAAATCCCAAAATCAAGCGAAAATATTGCAACACTTCGATCCTGAAGTGTATGTTACTCCACAATTATTTTATCTATTGTTTAAATGAGGGGAAAAAAAAAAAAAAACCAAACAAACAACAACCAAAAAAAAAAACAAACAAACCACCAAAAAAAAAACCCACAAAGTTGACATTTGACAGAGTGTCGTGATTTAGGCCTGATTGGAAGCCAACCACAATGCAGCACCTCTCTCTCTCCCTTCCCCTCTGGCAATGAGAAGGGACAGAGAGCCAGGCTTGGGGTTCAAGATAGGACTGGGATGGGGGAGAATCCCCCTTTTATGATCACGAGCAAAAGGCAGACTCGTTAGGGGAAGAAAAAAAAGAACATACATTTATTACAGACACTAACAACACATAACAGAGTAGGACAGTGAGAAGCATTGCCACATCTTGAGAACACCTTCCCCCCACCCCTCCCTTCTTCCCAGGCTCAGCTCTGCTCCCGATATCTCTACCTCCTCCCCCAGTGGCGCAGGGGCAGGGAATGGGGGGTGCAGTCAGCGCTGCCACTTCCTTCATGTTCGGTGAGGGGAGCGTCCAAAACTTATTCCCCTCTACTCCATCGTGGTCCCCCTCTCACAGGAGACAGTCCTCCACAAACTTTCTCCGACTTGAATTCCTCTCATGGGCCGCAGCGTTCCCCACACTGCTCCGTCATGGGTCATTAACTTCCTCCGACTGGATTCTCTCCCACGGCTGCAGCCCTTCCCGAGCTGCTCCGGCGTGGGACTCCCCCGCATGCTGCAACCCTCCCAGCGCTGAATTACAGCAGCGGGGCTGCCTTTTCCCATGAGACCCCGGCCTTCTTCGGGCACAGAACCTTGATCAGACGAGCAGGAACAACAGGCCACAAATCAATGTCTGCTCCACCGTAGATCTTCATGGGTGGCAGGGGGGGCCACCCTGCCGTCTCCCCACAGGATACAGGGGGGTCTCTGCTCCGGCACACCTCCCCCCTCCTTTCTGCCTCCGTTCCCCCACTGACCTTGGTGTTCACGCAGCTGCAGCAACTCCTCCTCACCAGTCCCACTGCCCGTCACCACATCCCTTCTTAAATACGTTATCACAGAGGCGCAGCTGATGGGCTCAATTTCCCAAACAGAAGTGGAGCTGGCTTGGAGCTGGGGGAGCTTCGAGAAGCTTCTCACAGGGGGCCGCCCCGATATCCCCCTCCCCTGCCACCAAAAAACTCCACCACTCACTCAACCCAGGACATTCCACCTCAGCTTTGCGCAGTGGCAGTGGCCTGTGAGGTTAATCCGAGGCGCGATTATTGCTAGTTGAAAACTCTTCCCAATACCCTGCCATGACGACTGGAAAAACAGTTGGCATTGGCAATTTTTGAGAGCCTCTTCGGAGGCTGTGTTTTTTAGGGGTGGAATGTCCTGGGTTGAGTGAGTGGTGGAGTTTTTTGGTGGCAGGGGAGGGGGCTATCGGGGCGGCCCCCTGTGAGAAGCTTCTCGAAGCTCCCCCAGCTCCACGTCAGCTCCACTTCTGTTTGGGAAATTGAGCCAATCGGCTGCGCCTCTGCGATAACGTATTTAAGAAGGGACGTGGTGACGGGCAGTGGGACTTGTGAGGAGGAGTTGCTGCAGCTGCATGAACACCAAGGTCAGTGGAGGAACAGAGGAAGAAAGGAGGGGGGAGGTGTGCCGGAGCAGAGACCCCCCTGTATCCTGTGGGGAGACGGCAGGGCGGCCCCCCCCGCCACCCATGAAGATCTACGGTGGAGCAGACATTGATTTACAGCCTGTTGTTCCTGCTCGTCTGATCAAGGTTCTGTGCCCGAAGAAGGCCGGGGTCTCATGGGAAAAGGCAGCCCCGCTGCTGTAATTCAGCGCTGGGAGGATTGCAGCATGTGGGGGAGTCCCACGCCGGAGCAGCTCGGGAAGGGCTGCAGCCGTGGGAGGGAATCCAGTCGGAGGAAGTTAATGACCCATGACGGAGCAGTGTGGGGAACGCTGCGGCCCATGGGAGGAATTCAAGTCGGAGAAAGTTTGTGGAGGACTGTCTCCTGTGAGAGGGGGACCACGATGGAGCAGGGGTAACAAGTTTTGGACACTCCCCTCACCGAACATGAAGGAAGTGGCAGCGCTGACTGCACCCCCCATTCCCTGCCCCTGCGCCGCTGGGGGAGGAGGTAGAGATATCGGGAGCAGAGCTGAGCCCGGGAAGAAGGGAGGGATGGGGAGAAGGTGTTCTCAAGATGGGGCAATGCTTCTCACTGTCCTACTCTGTTATGTGTTGTTAGTGTCTGTAATAAATGTATGTTCTTTTTTTTCTTCCCCTAACGAGTCTGCCTTTTGCTCGTGATCATAAAAGGGGGATTTTCCCCCATCCCAGTCCTATCTTGAACCCCAAGCCTGGCTCTCTGTCCCTTCTCATTGCCGGAGGGGAAGGGAGAGAGAGGTGCTGCATTGTGGTTGGCTTCCAATCAGGCCTAAACCATGACACAGAGACTGCAACTTATTTCAATCTCAGTTTTTCAGGTTATCTGAAGAGCTGAAAAAGTCAACTGTTTGCACATCTCCTGTCCTGAAGCCATGGAAAATTACCCTCTAGAGACAATAATTATGGGAGTTATGGTGCATAACACCACCATGGAAGTTTAAATCAGAACAGGCTGAGTTTTAAATCATTTTGGAAGATGCTATCAGGGCTGTGTTTTGAGATGGGCCTAAAATCAGTTTCTGAAGCAGTAATGAATATGGCTTAGCCTTCCCTACGCCTTTTCATCTGGCACCATTAAGTATAGTTACCTCTAGTGCTCTTCATGCTGACAGCATCAAATGATAGGTAGTTTTCTTGTTATAGATGAGATCTCCAGGATGTATTGTTGTGTGACTGTGCTGCTGGGAAAGATGAGTTTCTCTTACCTTCATTCACCTTATTTGCATGCCTGGACATCAGGATGTAATGGCCTTTCATAGGGAATTCAACACTTCCTCAGAGTCACAGCGGTTCTATTTTGTCCCTCAGGGCTCATCAAACGTGTTTGTTGCTTTCTTCAAACCTTGCTTAATAGGGAGAGATTATTCAAGTCATGAATGAAAAGGTTGATGAGTCTAATTTTTTTTTCCAATAATATATCATTAGTGAATGGAATTAATTAAGAAACTATTTGGTTTAGACTTCTTTTTTTTTTATCATCCAGAGTATGGGTCATGGATATATACTGAAAAATTAGATGCAACACATAATTCATCAAAAGGAGTGGTTGGTGTGTTTTGTCACTGCTGCTAAGGCAGCACTATTTTAAATTCTATGCCATGTACATATTATGCTTTTATTCAAATGTATGACATCATGCAGTTTTCCCCTTGACTTTCCCCACTTTCTGGAAAAATAAGCCCCCATTTCTACAGGTGTTTTGTGCACTCTTTTCTAAAAGACTTCTGCTAAATCAATATATAAGTGTGGATATTAAGTAGACCTTTTTGGTTTGTTTGTTTGTTTGTTTTTTTTTCTTTGAAGTATGATTGTTTCATTTTCTTTTAGTAACTGAGAATACTGTTTTTTGACTGATGGATATGAGCACTGTTGAGTAAGATCAGGTAGGATCTGTATTTAAATTTGGATGTCAGGTACCCAGAACAGGATGCAGTTGAGTTTACTTTTCCCACAGGAGTCAAAAAAATTGGGGCAGGCTTGAGCTGGACTTTTTTACCATTGGAAGATGTTATAAAACAGTTTTCAGCTTAGCTTGAAGGAGACATAGAGTATGGTGTAGTCAAAACCTAGGAATAAACAAATGCCAAATATAAATCAAGTGACAAATCAAGTAGTGTTATTGGGTAACGCTCGGAGATCTCTGGATCTGCTTTATGATGCACTTGGAGTCATCACTGAGGAAACACAAGGTGCAGAAGATGATCCAAACACCAGGGCTGCTGAAACTGGGACAGGAAATCTATATAATAGCACGAGTGGGGTGTGTAGGACAGCACCAGGTGGTACTGTGGACCAGGCACTCATTGGTCTTTCTGCTCCCCATACCAACTGAGAGCATATGAACTGCTCCACAGCCCAACACAGTGGGACCAGGCAGGGACCAGATGGGAGAAGCTCAGCTGAAAGTGGCTCATGCAGTGTGGGTTTCAGCCTTGGCCACGGCCCAGCCACGGCATGTTTGGAAGACTTTCCCAATGGCCAACAGTGAGAAGTGGGGAGCCTTGCTCTGTGCTGTCTTTGGGCTGGCCCTGAGCACCAGCAGCCAGATCTGCAGGAGCAGGGACGCTCAGCACCCTGGCACTGAAAAGGGTTTTGGCTGCGAGTGCTCATCCGGAGTTCAGGAGAGAGCAGTGTTAGCACACATCTCTCACTCGGCTGCACTAGAAACTGCGGTAGTTCCCCAGAAATGTGCTGCTGCAGACACTAATGCTGATGGTATTGACTGACTTCAGCACTCACTCAGTGGGGCAGCGTTGCTGGTGGGTTTTTATGAGACGGATCAAGAACCTATGGCTGCCCATCACAGGTCGCAGGTGCCCCAGTGGGCTGCTGCCCCTGGTTCATCCAGTGCTGGGTCAGGGGCTGACACTTTTGTCCCAGTCACAGTGATCACAAGGAAATTTGCGATTGTCACTTTGAGATCTCAGTGAAGGGAAGGTGGGACCTTCAGAGAGATACCCTGGTAAGGCTCTCCCTTTGCCTTTGTCCATCAATGGATTAACTCAACTACGAATACCATTCCTGTTCATGTAGTTCACCCAGTTTATTAGTAACATAAGACCACGGAGACCAAGAAGAATCCTCTCAGGTTCCAAACTTCAGTCAGATTCAGCCTGATGGAGGATTCATGACAATGACACCTGGAGTGTCTCTTTAGGTGTTGACCATTCAAGGCCTTTAGTTGCCCCAGCTGCAACTAGTCCACGTGCTTTGCAGAAACCACAGCTTGACCAGCGATGGAAATGATCTGTACAATATCTGTCTTAATCATTTGATTTTATCTCAACCGCAGAATGAAAAAAATAAACTCAGTATATGTGCACGTGCATGTGTTAGCTCACAACCAAACCTTCCTGGAGTTTTAAGTGAAACCAAAGAGAAAAAGAATTGTGTGTAGATTGTATGTTGTATTCATCTTCCTGAGCATTTCAGTAAAAGCAGTGTACAAGGCTAGAGAGTGTCCATGAATTCAGTTCACAAAACTACAGAAGAGAGTTTCTCCCCCTCATCTAGTGCCAAGGGCACCTTTTCAGCATGTGAAGGACCTAGGTTTGTGTCCTTTCTCTGTCTGATACACACTTTGACAGCAACCAAGGGCTCCCGCACCCCAGAGAGGTGTCTGATCCCTGCCTTCAGGACTCTCTGGGGGGTCTTTTCCAAAAGCTGGTTTCAGGGCTCTTTTCTTTGCAAACAATTCATAGAAGTTGCTTTCATTAGAGTCCCTTTGTAATCAGTGGACCACCTGTATCTGCAGCAGAGAGATACCTGGTTTTGATTTGAGTTCATTTTCAAAAGTGAGAGGTGCTGCCAAAATGATCCCCACTCAGGGTCTGAGCTTTCGAAATACATTGCTTTTGACTTAGAAATGTGCCAGTTTTAGTATTACACAAAGTCTGATTCATCCTGACTGCCTTCCCTCAGCTTTGCTCAGAGGTGCACTGAATATCCATATTATTAATATAAGACAAAGCTCGTTGGGATTCTGGGTGCTTTAATGTTTCTTGTAAATCACATGAAAGTAAAAAGAGGCAAACATCGTAATGTCTCAGTAGCTGATATATTGTATACAGACAGTGGGAAAAAATGTTCTGAATCTCACTGCTTGAAGTATTGTTTCTTCCATTCTCAATAACAAAGAATGAAAGGCTAGTAGTTCACACCTGTGGGTGCCCAACACTTTTCCTTAGCAGGCACCCTGAGTAGTCAGAAATATCTCTTTTTAAGCTTTGTCAGATGACTGCATTTGAGGGACAGACTCTTAATGCAGAAAGATCCTTCTGGGTTTTGCTTCTATTAATTTTACATAAGGAGATTTTGTTAGCCGGAATTAGATAGCACCACTTATTTATGAATAACCCATGAAGGAATGCATGAGTCAATATGAGACACTTCCCCAGTCCCTGGTGCTGGGTATTCACAAATCAAGAATGGCATCTATGCAGAACAATCATCAACAGAGATATTTCTGTGGTATGCCTGGATTAACTTGGAATGAATTATCTTCCCAGCTATATGAGTTTCTTTCCCCGAAGCATGTTTCTCCCATCCTTCCCCTACAGGGAATAAGTAAATGATTGTAGTAGTGTTTTTCAGCTGTCCATTTTGGGTGGCCTCAGTTTCCTTCTACCTCTTTTTTAAATGGTTCTAATGACTGCTCCTGGGAAAAAAAATAATTTGGCACATGTTGTG